GACCGCGAAGGGGCCGCGAAGGGGCAGCGAAGGGGCCGCTAAGGGGCCGCGAAGGGGGGGGGGCGCTAAAGGGTCGCGAAGGGGCCGCAAAGAGGCCGCAAAGGGGCCACTAAAGGGGCCGTGAAGAGGCCGCTAAGGGGGGCCGCGAAGGGGCCACTAAGGGGGGCTGCGAAGGGTCCACTAAGGGGCCGTTAAGGGGCAGGCCACTAAGGGGCCGCAAAATTTTAGGGCAGGACGCGAAGCGTGCTTAGGGCAGGCTAAAAAAAAGTTTTCGAAGGTGGGCCCTAGGAAGAAACGGTCCCACTAGGGAACCTGCTCTATACCATGTGAAGAATGAGAAATGATGGACTAGGAAAGGAGTTGGGTATAAATATGAAACCCTAGGAAACTGTACCCCATAGTGTCTACCCCACTACAGCCTAGACAGACTATAGCATAAATGTTTGACACGTTTTATATTCGCTCCACCATATTCTCCTTTTTTCGCCCTCTCCGAAGTTGCTACGTTGTCCGTTTTCTGCTTCGGGGGTGCCACACTGTTCTTGTCCCTCAGCTCCGCACGTACTTTCTTCATTTTCCAACACGCCAATATTCGATGTCCTGTAGCACCGCAAAACTCGCATGTCGCATTTTTTGCTAGCCGCTGCATCGCATCGCCCTTGTCGTTCTCCATCGGGTCGGCAGTCGTGGGTGATGCCAATCGCTCCATGCCACTATTTGGCTGGTTGCGTCGTGTTCCGTACTACCCAGCTACTGGTGCTGCTGGAGCTACTGGAGGTGCTGCTGGTGCTGCTGGAGCTGCTGGAGGTGCTGCTGGTGCTGCTGGAGCTGCTGGAGGTGCTGCTGGTGCTGCGGACCCGGGCGTTGGAGCTGCTGCTGGTGCTGCGGACCCGGGAGTTGGAGCTGCTGCTGGTGCTGCGGACCGTGGAGTTGGAGCTGCTGTTGGTGCTGCGGACCCGGGCGTTGGAGCTGCTACTGGCGCTGCTGGAGGTGCTGCTTCTACTGGAGGTACTAGTGCTGCTGGAGCTACTGGTTGAACTGGAGCTGCTGGAGCAGCTGGTCCTGGAGGTGCTTGTACTGGAGGTACTGGAGCTGCTGGGATTGGGCCTGTTGTGGAGGTTGGCGCTGGAGGTACTGGAGGTGCTGGAGGTTCTGCTGGAGCTGCCGGAGGTTCTGGTGCTGTCTCTGCTGCTGCTGGGGGCACTCCACGGCCGCGGCCGTACTTCGTTCCACTCCTTCAGCAGGTTCTTGGTCAGCCGCCTCCTCCTAGTCCCCCTCCCTCCGCAGAGTGTCCACCGCTTGTCCACTCGCAATCACAGCTACCACCTGCCTCGCCACTTCCTCGTCCTTCTCCCTACACTTGTCCGACAGGCGGTCTCACAGAGCATCGTGAGCCTGAGTCTCGTCCTGTGTCGCCAGTGTCCCCTCCTGTGACACCTGTTCGTACTGCTTGCACCAGTCGCCGTGTTCCACGTGAGCGTCCGCCACCTGTCCCTGGCACACACCTGATGTCACTGCGTCCCTCCACTGCTCCACAGCGTGTCCCTCTGCCGTCTCCTCCTGCGTCCTCTCTTCCTGCTCTTGCTGACCCGGAGTCTGACTCTCTTCGTGCTGCCAGTCCTACTGTCACGCGTCTCCTGGCCACTGCTGTCACTGACCCTTCTTTTGAGTCGGCTGCTGCGTCTGCCCTGGTTGCTGAGCTTGTCGACTTTGCTGCTCGCTGTCGTCTAGACTACGCTGCCAGTCTTGTTGCTGAGTCTGAGTCTGTCTGTCCTCCGTCCGTCGGGGGTGAGTGTGCTCTTAGCACGGACATCCTTGAGGACAGACAGGAGGACCTTGAGTGTCTTGCAGCCGCTGCGCCCCATCTCGTGTCCATGCTGATTGCCCCTGAGGGAGACCCGGATGCACCAGACATCCCGACTCCTCAATCGTACGCTGAGGCGATCGAGGGTCCCTACTCCTCACAGTGGCAGTCAGCCATGGACGGAGAGATGGCAACCTGGAAGTCCACAAGCACCTACGTTGACGAGGTTCCCCCACCTGGGGCGAACATTGTCAGTGGCATATGGATTTTCAGGGTGAAGCGGCCGCCAGGTTCTCCGCCTGTCTTCAAGGCTCGTTACATTGATAGAGGCTTCAGTCAGCGAGAGGGAGTAGACTTCTTTCAGACCTTCTCCCCCACCCCGAAGATGACCACTCTTCGAGTACTACTGCACGTTGCTGCTCAGCTCGACTACGAGCTTCACTCTCTTGACTTCAGCACAGCTTTCTTGCAGGGCAGTCTGCACGAGGAGATCTGGCTGCGCCGCCCTCCTGGCTTCACTGGGTCGTTTCCTCCTGGTACCCAGTGGAGCCTCCGGCGGCCGGTCTACGGTCTCCGCCAGGCGCCACGTGAGTGGCACGACACATTGAGGACTACTCTTGCGGCACTTGGGTTCTCTCCTTCTACTGCTGACCCGTCGTTGTTTCTGCGCACCGACACTTCGCTGCCGCCGTTCTACATCCTCGTGTACGTCGACGACTTGGTCTTTGCCACAGCTGACACTGAGTCTCTCGCCCACGTGAAGTCGGAGCTGCAGAAGAGACACACGTGCACAGACCTGGGTGAACTGCGCAGCTACCTTGGCTTGCAGATCACCCGGGACAGAGCACGCCGCACCATTACCCTGACTCAGTCACACATGGTGCAGCAGGTCCTTCAGCGCTTCGGCTTCACCTGGTCCTTAGCACAGGCCACTCCTCTGGCTATAGGTCACTCGCTCTCAGCTCTGCCTTCGGATGAGTCCGTAGAGTCGAGTGGTCCTTACCCAGAGCTAGTTGGTTGCCTCATGTACCTGATGACTTGCACTCGTCCTGACTTAGCATACCCTCTTGGCCTTTTGGCTCGCTACGTGGCTCCTGGTCGGCACCAAAAGGTGCACTGGGATGCTGAAAAGAGGGTATTGCGCTACTTGTGCAGTACATCGGGCATGGGGCTCGTGCTTGGAGGAGGGAGCTCAGTTGTTCTCACTGGGCACTCAGACGCTTCTTGGGTTGACGACCAGGCTACTCAGCGGTCGTCACAGGGTTACACCTTCAGCCTTGGCTCTGGTTCAGTTTGGTGGCGTTCTACGCGTTCGTCTTCAGTTCTCAGCTCCAGTTGTGAGGCTGAGATCTACGCCACAGCCATGGCTGCACAGGAGTTACGCTGGCTCACCTACCTGCTGACTGACCTTGGAGAGCGGCCTAGTTCTCCTCCAGTGCTGTACGTCGACAACAAGGCTGCCATTGCCTTGTGTGAGGAGCACAGACTGGAGCACAGAACGAAGCACATCGCTCTCTGTTACTTCCTTGCTCGAGAGCTGCAGCAGCGTGGTCAGCTCCGTCTGCGTTACGTGGCCTCTCAGGCCAACACCGCTGATATATTCACCAAGGCACTTCAGCCTGGTGATCATCAGCGCTTCTGTACTTTGCTGGGGCTGGTGCCCACTTTTCCTCACTTGTTGTAGGCTTCGCCTGTACTGTGATCTCTATATATACTCCTGCCTGTTTGCTCTGCTAGGCTGAGATCACCCTTGCTTTTTGTACTACATATATACTTCTGTATGTGAACTGGCCATGTGGCCCTTTACTTGTGCTCGGAATGTGTGGTGACGTTGTGATCCACCCTGAGCTTACTTGCCTTTCCTGACTGGTCTTGTGACCTCTTGCTCTTCCCCACTTTGCCCATGGGGGTGTGTCAAACAGTATATGTTGTATTTGTGTAGGCTACAGTGGGGTAGCCTTTAGGGGATACATTATTCTAGGGTTAGGTACTTGTACTCACATTTGTTTCTAGTTCAACACTTCTTCTTTCCGACACGTCGAACTGTTCGATGAGTGCTGCCCGGAACTGCGCCCACGTCCCTTTGCCTTGGACAAATCTATTGCTAATCCACTCTAGAGCTGGGCCTCGTAACAGTGTTGCTGCGAGCCGTCTGGGCAATGCGTCTTGGTTGAGGATCGTGCATCCAATGGCTTCGAATAATTTTTCTAATACAGCTACAAATCGGCGAACATCGCTCCCTTTCGTGCTAGGATCGAACGCCTCTGGTTGCCTCAGCTTCTCTGCTTTGAGGTTAACTGTAGCTGCTGCCGTTGTCGCAGGTACAATTGTCGGTGTTGCCGCCGTCGCTGCTGCTGCTGCTGCTACTACGGCTACCGATTGGTTCGCCAGGAGTTTTTTCGAGTCGCAGGAGCGCCGCACGTATCTGCTTATGCTCAGCACGTAACTCCGCGAAGTTTTCTATAAATAAATCTCTATTTCCCTCCCTTTTGGCAATTTATAGAAAGAAGCGCGACGAAAATAATTGAATTTTGGGTGCTGGTCGACTTACTGCGAGTCGAATTGACTGTAGAATCGACGAGCGCAAATTTGGTAGGTCGCGTAAATCTCCCGTAGCTGAAATTCGCGTCCGATCTCGGCCGTTGAGGAGAAACTCAATCTGACGGTCGAAATTCCAACCCTTTTGGGCAAAATTCTCTAGGCCGTTGAGATTGAAATTGATATGACCGTCGAAATTCCAACCTTTTCACCAATATTCCTGAGGGATGTTCAAAACCGAATCGAGGGGGACTTAGAAAAATTTTGCGGAACTGGTTTCACATACCCGTATCGGCGCTTTCGTGATCGCCCCCGCGGTTTTTAAAGGCCGGAACTAAACGGTTGAAGACCTAGCGTGTAAACATGCTCTGATTACCAAGTGTGAGGATCTGGTTCAGGAAAGATAATTCTATTGAATGATCCACCTGGGTACAAGGCGAGCCTATATTTAGCCTCGCCTTGTACCCAGGCAATTTATTCAATAGAATTATCTTTCCTGAACCAGATCCTCACACCTGTCCATCGCAGGGTGGGCGAGGTCTCCTAGAAGGAGACACGGGGCCAGAGGTTGAGCTGATGCGCAGCGTATCGAACCGCAAAGGGCCACAGAAATGGGGGGCAGCCGCATGGACCATGGAGGTACGAGCGACCTCCATGACTAAGCCAATGCGGTGCTCAGCAACCCCATTCTGCTGCGGTGAATGCCCTCCCCACGACAAAAGTCCCGCAGAAAGTCAGAGGCAAACTCACCACCTCTGTGAGAGTGCAGACGCAGGACGAGAAATTCCGTCTCGAACAACTTGCGGAGCTGGAGACGGGCAGCGCGGATCCAAGGGATCAAAACATCAGGGACCTCGCCCTTGGTGCGCAAGGGGATGACCGTGGTGTAACGCGTGTAGTCGTCAACGACCAGCAAAAAGTACCGCTCGCGGTCCTGTCCACGGACGCGGGCTGGGCCCCACACGTCCATGTGTAGGATCTGCAGGGGAGCAGTCGTCGGGGGAAACGAGGAGGAGTGAGGAGCGCCGCGCTGCCGCCCCTCGACACGGGGAAGGCAGGGAGGGGTAGGCGAGGGTGGGAGAGGAGGCATGGTCTCTTGAAGTCTAGAGACGAGACGTCGGTGCATGCCACGGAGGCGCTGCACCGAGGGGTGACCAAGACGGTGGTGCCAAAGGACGGTCTGGTGTGACAAAGCGCGACACGAGCAGGGGGGCGCTAGCTGACCTGACGCAGATGCAGACGTAGCTACCCGAGGGGACACAGTAGTCAGTATGTACAGACTCGAGCCAGGTGCTCGGGTGAACGTGGCTAGGTGCCGACCAGTCTGGGAGCACATACAGTGGGTCACACGCTGACCTCCAGGAGTGAACTGGTCAACCCACACATCCTGGAGGTCAGCTCCACTCACCAAGTTCGTAGAGAACGAGGGGAGGTGGAGACCCGACAGTGAGCCAGATGGGACCGCCGAACACGGCAGAACCGTAGAGGAGTGCGCAATGACTGGGCCCCCTGAGGGGTCCGCCAGGGAGACTGCAACCGGCCGGCTGAGCAGCGTGAGTGAGGTGCTGTCGCGAAGGAGGAGCGGGAAGCACCTGAGTAAAGTGTGAAGGTGTGCAAGGCCTCAGCAGGCGCAGTACCAGAGAGAGCAGACTCACCAGCACCTGGAGCAGCAGACTCACTAGCACCTAGAGCAGCAGCCTCACCAGCACCTCGAGCAGCAGACTCTGTGTATGGGTCGGGCGGCACACACAGGTAACAGTCACCCTCAGCACTAATAGTGACAGCATACATGGCAGCAAGGATAGCATCATAGTCAAGAGCAAAGATATCAACATTCTGCCTAAGCAGATCAGCCTAGCTAGGGAGCTCAGCGGGGTCAGGAAACTGTGCGCGCCAGGCGACAGACAGGCGACAGAAACAGCGCTGCGGCGTGTGTGGCAGGCCGCACGTCTCCCCACGGCGCCCGCCGGTAAGGAGAACGTAAGTGCAGGGACCAGCACCCCCAGACCTCCCACGCCCAGCGTACCACTCACGAAGCTGCTGGGGCGACGGGGTCTCACGGGAACGCGGCTGCTGCTGGCACTGGCTACCGCCAAAGCCTCCACGCTGCGCGGCTCCACACCGACCAGCACCAGCGCCGCCGCCACCTCCACCGTCGCTGCTACTGCCTCCACCGCCATTGCTGTTGCCTCCACCACCGCTGCCGCTGCCTCCACCACCTCCACCGCCGCCACCAACGCTCCCACTCCCACCACCACCCTTGCCTCCACCCCCACCCCCTCCGCCTCCTCCACCGCCACCACTGCCGCCCCCGCCGTCCCCTCCACCACCTTTGCCCCCCTTGCCCTTGCCGCTGCGGCGCCTTACACTAGGAGCAGACGCAGCCCCGACCTCCTCGGTGCCAACGAGGTCGACACCAGTAGCAGAAGCAACAGAGGGCAGAAGGGGAACGGGGGAACACCCCTCAAAGAAAGGGGCACGAGGGTCGCTGCGAGAAGCACCTACAGCAACAATACTCTTCTCAGCTGTAGTAAGGCGCTCCTCTAGCAGGTCGACGGTGAGCTCGGTGGGGCAAAGGGAGAGAAAGTGGTCCCTGACTGAGCAAAGGGAGTCAAGGAGACGGGTGACTAGGTAGAAGAGGGTGATGTACATGGGGGGGGGGGGGGGTTCTTGGCGAAGAACTCGGAGGGAAGCATAGCGTAGTAGCGGGCGTCACTAGTGCAGAGGTGCGTAATGAGGTCAGCGACTGTGGCAAAGGCGGCCAGGTCAGGGAACATGTACGGTAGCATGAGGCGGCTGAGGGTAGCAGTGGCAGGGGAGGAGTAGCCCGCTACGACAGCGTCATACAAAGACTTAGCAGTCTTGTACTGGCCAAAGTGCGCGCACTCAGAGACGGTAGGTGACTACGAACAGCAAGGCGAGCAACAGCGTCACGGGTAGTCCACTGGAAGCGAACCGTACTGTCAGCAGTGGCAGCAGGTGCAGCAGAGGCGCCGGGCGTGAGATTAAAAAGCGAGACTCCGTCCTTAGAATCGCACTGAAGGAAGAGCTGCAGATCATCTACCCAACCACTGAAGTCATCCGCCATGTGGGGCCAATAATAATTCTTCGCAATACCGGCACGCGTCTTGTTACTACCGAAGTGGCCTGCATAGAGAACGTCATGATATTCTTCGTGTAGTAGTTGGCGTAAGGGAGGATAATTAGGTACCCTGATTTTTGTGGATCCCTTCCAATATGCAATGTCTTGATCCCAATGCAAAAGATGGCGTTTCTCTGCTATAGAGACTTCGAGGTCGATACTGTATCCTGTTAGAAAGAAGAAGTTATTGAACTAGAAAGGAATGGGAGTACAAGTACCTAACCCTAGAATGATGTACCCCCTAAAGGCTAACCCACTGTAGCCTACACAAATACAACATATATAATGTTTGACACACCCCCATAGGCAAAGTGGGGGAAAACAAGGGGTCACAAGACCAGTCAGGAAAGGCAGAAGTATATATGTAGTACAAACAGCAAGGGTGATCTCAGTCTAGTAGAGAAAACAGGCAGGAGTATATATAGAGATCACAGTACAGACAAGGCCTACAACAAGTGAGGAAAAGTGGGCACCAGCCCCAGCAAAGTACAGAAGCGCTGATGATCACCAGGCTGAAGTGCCTTGGTGAATATATCAGCAGTGTTGGCCTGAGAGGCCACGTAACGTAGACGAAGCTGACCACGCTGCTACAGCTCTCGAGCAAGGAAGTAACGCAGAGCGTTGTGCTTCGTTCTATGCTCCAGTCTGTGCTCCTCACACAAGGCAATGGCAGCCTTGTTGTCGACGTACAGCATTGGAGGAGAACTAGGCCGCTCTCCAAGGTCAGTCAGCAGGTAGGTGAGCCAGCGTAACTCCTGTGCAGCCATGGCTGTGGCGTAGATCTCAGCCTCACAACTGGAGCTGAGAACAGAAGACAAACGCATAGAACGCCACCAAACTGAACCAGAGCCAAGGCTGAAGGTGTAACCCTGTGACGACCGCTGAGTAGCCTGGTCGTCAACCTAAGAAGCGTCTGAGTGCCCAGTGAGAACAACTGAGCTCCCTCCTCCAAGCACGAGCCCCATGCCCGATGTACTGCACAAGTGGGCGCAATACCCTCTTTGCAGCATCCAAGTGCACCTTTCGGTGCCTACCAGGAGCCACGTAGCGAGCTAGAAGGCCAAGAGGGTATGCTAAGTCAGGACGAGTGCAAGTCATCAGGTACATGAGGCAACCAACTAGCTCTGGGTAAGGACCACTCGACTCTACGGACTCATCCGAAGGTAGAGCTGAGAGTGAGTGACCTATAGCCAGAGGAGTGGCCTGTGCTGAGGACCAGGTGAAGCCGAAGCGCTGAAGGATCTGCTGCACCATGTATGACTGAGTCAGGGTAATGGTGCGGCATGCTCTGTCCCGGGTGATCTGCAAGCCAAGGCAGTTGCGCAGTTCACCCAGGTCTGTGCACGTGTATCTCTTCTGCAGCTCCGACTTCACGTGGGCGAGAGACTCGGTGTCACCTGTGGCAAAGACCAAGTCGTCGACGTACACGAGGATGTAGAACGGCGGCAGCGAAGTGTCGGTGCGCAGAAACAGCGATGGGTCAGCAGTAGAAGGAGAGAACCCAAGTGCCGCAAGAGTAGTCCTCAATGTGTCGTGCCACTCACGTGGCGCCTGGCGGAGACCGTAGACCGGCCGCCGGAGGCTCCACTGGGTACCAGGAGGAAACGACCCAGTGAAGCCAGGAGGGCGGCGCAGCCAGATCTCCTCGTGCAGACTGCCCTGCAAGAAAGCTGTGCTGAAGTCAAGAGAGTGAAGCTCGTAGTCGAGCTGAGCAGCAACGTGCAGTAGTACCCGAAGAGTGGTCATCTTCAGGGTGGGGGAGAAGGTCTGAAAGAAGTCTACTCCCTCTCGCTGACTGAAGCCTCGAGCAACGTAACGAGCCTTGAAGACAGGCGGAGAACCTGGCGGCAGCTTCACCCTGAAAATCCACATGCCACTGACGATGTTCGCCCCAGGTGGGGGAACCTCGTCAACGTAGGTGCCTGTGGACTTCATGAAGCCATCTCTGCGTCCATGGCTGACTGCCACTATGAGGAGTAGGGACCCTTGATCGCCTCAGCGTACGATCGAGGAGTCGGGATGTCTGGTGCATCCGGGTCTCCCTCAGGGGCAATCAGCATGGACACGAGATGGGGCGCAGCGGTTGCAAGACACTCAAGGTCCTCCTGTCTGTCCTCAAGGACGTCCGTGCTAAGAGCACACTCACCCCCAACGGACGGAGGACAGACAGACTCAGACTCAGCGACAAGACTGGCAGCGTAGTCTAGATGACAACGAGCAGCAAAGTCGACAAGCTCAGCAACTAGGGCAGACGCAGCAGCCGGATCAAAAGAAGGGTCTGAGATAGCAGTGGCCAGGAGACGCGTGACAGTAGGACTGGCAGCACGAAGAGAGTCAGACTCCGGGTCAGCATGAGCATGAAGAGAGGACGCAGGAGGAGACGGCAGAGGGACACGCTGTGGAGCAGTGGAGGGACGCAGTGACATCCGGTCTGTGCCAGGGACAGGAGGCGGACGCTCACGTGGTGCACGGTGACTGGTGCAAGCAGTACGAACAGGTGACTCAGGACGGGACACAGGCGACACAGGAAGAGACTCAGGCTCACGACGCTCTGTGAGACCGCCTGTCGGACCAGTGTAGGGAGAAGGACCGGGAAGTGGCGAGGCAGGCGGTAGCTGTGACTGCGACTAGACAGGCGGTGGACACCCTACGGAGGGAGGGGGACTAGGAGGAGGCGACTGACCAAGAACCTGCTCAAGGAGTGGAACGAAGTACAGCCGCGGCCGTGAGGTGCCCCCTGCAGCAGCAGAGACAGCACCAGAACCTACAGCAGCTCCAGCAGAACCTCCAGCAGCTCCAGCAGCACCTCCAGCACCTCCAGTACCTCCACCGCAAGCACCTCCAGGACCAGCTGCTCCAGCAGCTCCAGTACCGCCAGTAGCAGCTCCAACGCCCGGGTCCGCAGCACCAGCAGCAGCTCCAACGCCCGGGTCCGTAGCACAAGCAGGAGCTCCAACTCCAGGGTCCGCAGAACCAGCAGCAGGCCCAACTCCAGGGTCCGCAGCACCAGCAGCAGCTCCAACGCCCGGGTGCGCAGCACCAGCAGCAGCTCCAACTCCCCGGTCCGCAGCACCCGCAGCACCTCCAGGAGCTCCAGCAGCACCTGTAGCTGGGTCGGCGACACTAGGAGCGCCACTCCTGAGACTGCAGCGCCGTGCGTACCACTCTCGGAGTCTCTGGGGAGAGGGCAGCTCCCGCCTAGAAAAGGAAGCACTAGCACCAGCTCCAGCAGCACTCCTAGCTCCAGAAGCACCTCTTTTGAGGCTGCAGTACTGTAAGTACCACTCACGCAGCTGCTGTGAGGAGAGAGCTCCTCCAGATGTAGCACTCCCAGGCTCAGCACCTCCAGACTCAGCACCCCCAGACTCAGCACCCGCAGGCTCCCCACCCCCAGGCTCAGCACCCCCAGACTCCGCAACCCCAGGCTCCGCACCCCCAGGCTCCGCACCCCCAGGCCCCGCAATCCCAGGCTCCGCACCCCCAGTAGGACGAGAGTCGCTCCAACGCGTGCAGCACCTCCAGCTTCAGTAGCTCCAGTACCTCCTGTACGAGCACCTCCAAGACCAGCAGCTCCAGTACCTCTAGCAGCTGCAACTCCAGCTCCTCCAGCGCCAACGCCTGCAGCACCTCCAGCTCCAGCAGCTCCAGTACCTCCATTACGAGCACCTCCGGGACCAGCGGCTCCAGTGCCTCCAGCACCTCCAGGACGAGCAGGTCCAAGGCCTACAGCTCCAGGACCTCCAGCGGAAGCCCCCCCGGCTCCAACAGCGCCACTTTGAAGACTCCAACGCCGAGCAAACCACTCTCGCAGCTGCGGTGGAAAGAGAGGCTCCCGCCTGGACGAGGCACCCGGAGAACCTCCAGTACCTCCCGCACCTCCAGGACCAGCAGCTCCAGCACCTCCGGTACCTCCAGCTCTAGCGCCTCCAGCTCCAGGGTCTCCAGCTCTAGCAGCGTCACGCTGAAGGCTCCAACGCCGAGCAAACCACTTGCGCAGCTGCGGTGGAGAGAGAGTCTCCCGCCATGACGAGGCAACCGGAGAACCTCCAGTAGACAAATTACCTCCAAGCGTAGCACGCTCAGGCTCAGCACCCCCTAGCTCAGCACCCCCAGGCTCCGCACGCTCAGACTCAGCACCCCCAAGCTCAGCACCCCCAGGCTCCGCACGCTCAGGCTCAGTACCCCCAGGCTTCGCACCCTCAGACTCAGCAACCCAATGCTCAGCAACCCCAGGCTGCGCACGCTCAGGCTCAGCAACCCCCGGCTCCACACGCTCAGGCTCAGCACCCCCAGACGCAGCTGCCCTTGCAGCACCAGAGTCGACAGCTACCTCAACAGGCTCGGCAAGGTCTACCTGGGACACACCTGAGGGGGCAGGACCCTGAGGGGAGAGGGGGTCTACCGGAGGAGGACCTGGAGCGAGGAAGAGCGGCGGGGGGGAGAGGGGCAGTGCCGTAGGGGAAGAGACGGTAAAAGGGAACCGACTCGTCAAACGTGACGTCCTGAGAAG